AATCAATGCTTTTATTAGTCAAAACTTGTCTTATGTTGGTTGCTTTTATGAATTTCCTAATAAAAAAACAATGACAACGATTGATTGTTTTTTTTTAAAAGTGTAATATGATGATCACTTAATAGTTTTGCTCGAGAAAAAAGGTAAAACCTCTTTGTTTTAAGTTTTGGCACGATTTTTTTTTGTTTTTGATTGTCTGCAACTCCTTGTTCATTGTCTTAGAACAATGATTTGATCCTAATCGTCCCCTCGTCATCCCGTTTTCGAATAATTCATTGTTGGATTAGCAAGAAATTAAAAGGGATTTCTTGGTAAGTACGTAATAGCTTTTGATACCCGAATTTAGGTCCATCTACCAGGAGTCGTCGCCGCTGCCGGCAGGACAAGAGTAATAATTCTAGCGAACCTATGGACTGTGAGCATTATGGGAAACTGCTTAGTGGATTGCAAACTGATTGCATTAGAAACTCTGGACCCCTGCTAACAGATAAGCAGCAGAAGGGAGACGATAGTAATAATACCTCTGACAATCACGATAATTTTCATATCGAAAGTGAATATTATGGGAAGGTGCTAAGTGAATCCCAAATTGATTACATTCGAAACTCTGGACCGCTGCTAATAAAGAAGCAGCAGAAGAAGAAGGTTCCACAGGTAGTTGATCAACCAGGTGAAGACCAGACAGAAAAAGATCTGCCTGATGAATTTTGCGAACCCGTAACTATTTCAGAACCTTCATCAAATACCAATCCCAAAAGACGAAGAGGTAGCAATGTATCAGGAATATTGATTTATTGTTTCTCGATGTTTCTTTTAAGAAGTTTTGATGATACTGAAAAGTATAATGCTCACGTTTGTTAGTTCTGCTGGCAGGTCGAAAAGCTGAGGCCAGCCCAAGTAATACAACTTTGTCATCAGCTAAGAAAGCTTCAACATCAAAGAAGAAAATCAAAGCCCAATCTCCTGCTCCTCCTGCTTCCCCTACTCCTCCTACTCCTACCCGTGACCATCACATAACCTGGGATTTTTTTGATGAAACATCTGCATCAGTTGACCAGATCTGCCCTCTATGTGAAAATGATTTGTCTTCAACTGTGTTGGAGGTGGAGGATGAATGTGAGGTTTTTGGCGTTGAGCAGGTGACACTTCCCTGTGTTGCTATTTTGGCATGTGGCCATGCTTTCCATAGTGAATGCTTGGAAAGCATCACACCTCCGGATCAGCGAACTGATCCTCCATGCATTTTCTGTTTGAGTTGCGTCACATAAAACTGTTCCAACTCTGATGTTTCTTCTTTCTGAGAATTAGAGTACAGATGTAACTTCCCCTGGTATGAAATTGACAGTGTAGATTGAAGGATCCATTGAACAAATGGTCAAGGCAAATGTGGTCTAATGAATTTGCTGATTTTTTCATACGACAGTTAAAGCAAAAGTTTACTTCTTTTAAAAATCTTGGAGTTATTATTATTCTTAACTAACACATTGGGAAAACTACTTGAATGCAGATACAATTGAGAGCAGATACTTCAGAAAATTTTGGTGTTTAGTTAATGAATTAAACTTTATCAAGTTAATAGTATTTCCTTTGGGAGAGGTAAAAATTCCATTTATAGCTCAGAGGAAACAGAAATATGCTTAAGAAGGAAAAAATATTAAATAACGGAAAAAACTTGTATAATGTTCTTGTACGCTAATGTTGGAGAATTGCGCAAATAAAGAATCATATTGGAGATTTCAATTGGTCATAAATTCATGCAATGTTCGATTGCTGCAAAAAAATTTAAAAAAAAAAAAAGCAAATAGCAACAAGCTTTTGTCATCCAAGAAAATAGATGGCAGTTAACATTAATTTGCAGCAGATAACCATTCCCCTGATTCAAGTAAGTTATTTATCCCAACAGGTTCATATCCTTGAAAGTAATCTATTCAGTGAATTTGCCCTTACATCACTATTCTACATCCATGCAGCACCCTGGATTATTTCACAATACACAAACTTATTAGAGAAGACTTTTCAGCTTTGTTGTTGTTGTTGTTTCTTTTTTTTTTCCCTGCTGACAGAATTAATATCTTTGTATTGAGTTATCAGTTAACTATATACAAATTCGAACATTAGCATAAAACTCAAAATGCCTCCTGAAGAACCACCACATCTGCCCAACAGTTCTTTCTTTGCCACTCATTCATCATTGTAATTTCTTTTAGCTTATGTACAAATCATGCATTTAACCATATAGGCTTTCTGTCAAAAATTACACACACACACGCACGCACTAGACGTCTTACAAACAAATTGCTTTGCATCATCTTTGTCGTGCTCTTGAGCAAGTTACTTTTCACTTTGAGTTTTCGACTTGTTTGCTTTCTTGTTGAAATTTTTTTACATGTTTCTCAGGGATGTATCTTTCAGATGTCTGCATGCATGGTTAAACTGAATTAGTTGATCATTCTTGTTGCAAGCCACTGATGCATACAAGCATGTTCACTCTTAGTGCTAATTATTGGGCGGTCCTTTTTCTTAAACATTTTTGTGTTTTAGATACCTTAAGTATGAACAAAATTGCATTTGGACGTGCAAGTCTGATTATTGTGACATTATCACGACCAAAGGTTAAAGATACATCATCATACTACAAGCATAAAGGATTCATGTTCCCTCCATTGTTACTCTAAAAAGATGTTTATACGAACTGATATAGATTCATAATATGTCATCATTGTTCATATTTGAAATCCCATTTTTGCATACGTGTCATGATATTAGACCGATTTGTGGAAAAGAAAATCTACAGTGTAAACATTCATCCATTGAATGAGAATTTTTTTTTTTAAGAAATGGGTGGTAACAATGCTTTTGTTTTTTCCCAGTCATGTGCAGGTTTGGATTGCCATTTTTTTTCAAAAATCGTTTACGCTTTCCGTGAACACGCCAAATCATTACAATATAATTTTTTACAAAAACTTCAAATGGGCTTGAATTGGGTGATATTCCTGACCAGAATGTGATTATTAAGTTTTACTTGTTGAGATACATTATAGTTGATTGAAGATATTATACTATACAAATCGAAGATCTCCAAGCAAATCATGTCCTAATTCATTATACTTTTTTCATGTAATATTTTATGGGTTTTGGCACGGTTGACTCATTATAGTTGCTTGTTGTATGCTAATTATACATGCAATTTGGTCGGCTTTGTATAGAGGCATCAATTACACAATACTGTGTTCCTTTTAACATTCAAATTTTTGGGAGCTATACTTTGCTAGATGGGCATCTGCAACGAAGTCTAATGATGCGTGTAATGCTTGCCATAACACTGGGTCCATTACACCACCACCCATTGTGGCCGTATAATACTCATTACACGCATCATTTTGATGATACGTGTAATGGGTGCGCCAGTGTCAAAATCTAGTAACGACAAAATTTATACCAACAATGTTAAAGTTAGTAACGTTCACTTTTTTTCCAACGGTTATATTTTAATTCTCTATATAAACACACAACACACTCTTTTTTTTTTTAATATCCTACTATTCTACTCTATTATTTCTTTTACTCTCTCACTCATTTTCCTCAACCTCTTTGCACAATTTTTTAAACTTTCAATATTTTGTGATTATGGATGAGAATTATTGTAGTTTTACAAACATGTTAAATGCTCCAAATATAGAAAATTCATCCTCCTCACAAAATCAAAACCCCCAAAATTTTCCAAATTACCCATTTTCTGGTATTCCTACAAATGTCCAAAAATTAATGAAAGTTAATACTTTTTTTTAAAAAAATAACAAAATTATTTTTAAAAAATTACTTTATTTATTTATGGGATATGAGTTATGTATTATTAAAATAAATATTTAATTTAATTGTGGACCCGTACTATTACACCTTGTGGAGTGGAAGTATCATGAAAGAAGAGAAAGCGGAATACTGACGTGGCATGTGGATTGCACTCTAAAAAATGTAAATCATTGCGGATGCTCTAACTAATTTTTTTTCTTTCAAAAAGCGAACAATATATAGCTACTAACAGGAAATCGGAGATCAAAAGCACGTAGACAAATGATTTCTGCAACTTAGATGACTTTCGTTTCCCAAATGAGTTGCTTTTTTCTTGCAATTTTTTCATACAGCATAAGTTTAGCCTTACAAGTTACAACCATGCCGGAAAAAGTATTGCTAAAGGAAAGACCTTTCTAACATGTATATATATACGTCTCACCCGGGAAATTTATTCTGTGGACAATCCTTAGTCTAGTAAACTTTCCTAGTTGAGTAAATGAACTAAATTTTGTTGCTCGACCTATTTCATTTTCTTTTCCTTTTTCTTTAACTTCTTTGGTAAGAGAGCCACACATCTCTTTTATGGTGTCTATTTGACGGATGACTGAATTTAGAAAAAGCCCCATCTCCAGTTCAAACTAAAGGTCGTCACTCCTTCCACAATTGTTTGTTTCGATTTATTTCGGCCTTAGTTTAGTTTATCTTCTGCATTTTGTACTTTCATACTCTTCAGTCTTTGACATGCTATTGCTTTTGCGTTTGTTATGGAAATGGTTCTTTAGTGCACTTATGGATCTACTTTATGAACTCAACATTCCGTTTGGATTGCTATTTTTAGGAGAAAAATGGTAATCCAAAACAATAAGGAGCATCAATTCTTCTTTATATGGTCCGTATCATGCGTGCGGCTCTAGTCATGTTTAATTCAATCACAAAGTATTTAGCAACCATGGCCTGCCATTTCCCAAAAGGAGTAGTAATTTTTGGGGAACCAACATTTATCAATGAAATCTTCACAATATGAAGGAAATCTCATGGTTTTCAACCATGCAGAAAGAGGAGAGGACCAACATGCGAAGAAATAACAGAATAGCAGCTGCAACTTCACTTGGTCTATAAACAAGTAAAGAACGTGGAGCCAAGTGCAAAATTGGATTAATTGCTAGGAATTCTGGGAATGCAGCAAACAAATTGCAAACAAAGAAAGCTGAATAATTGTATCAATGACCCTCGAAATTAACTATTTGATAAATCTGATCTATTTACAGACCAGTAGTACACCGTTCAGAAAATTATCAGGATTCTTCATCAAAACAAATTTCTGAATCCAAAACAATTTCCAATTTCCAGCTAATCATTAAACACCAGTAACAATAGACACTGCAAAGCAACCAGTTCACCATCTAAATGGATTACATATGACCTGCATATACGGCACTATGAACCATCATCTATATTTGCTTTCATCAGCTTCTGCAATGTTGAACAAAAAATTCGGAAAAGATGCAATACGAGGCAGATTAAGTAGAAGGTCTCCAAGTGAGTCTCTTCTTGGGATACCTGGAGTCTGCTTGGGATCCACTGAGCTCACTACGTTATCGTGAGCCTTCATCTCAAACATAAAGTCACTAGGGTAGTTCAATTCAGCATCTCTCCCAGCGAAGGGTCCTTCGGAGTGATTTTCTCCCTCAACATGTGCACTGGAAGCTACTGTTGGATCCTGCAGAAGACAGCAAAGCGAATTGACCTTTTTCATGAGTTTCTCATCTGAAGCTGCTACATTCTGGGTGTCACTAAGCATAATCTGTGCAATGTTCTCAAAAATGTTCTGACACTCTGATGCCTTTTCCGAAGGAATACTTCCAGAGGTCACTTGTTCTGAAATATGTTGTCCAATGTGACTCACAAGATCAGTCATAGACATAGAAGGATGAAGCCCCGGCACTTTCAAGTTTTTCAGCCCTTGGGAATCAGATAGATAATAGTTACCATTCCCTTCAATTGCATTTGCATCCATAACTATCAATAAGCACAAGACGGTGAGTGACAGATCAAAAAAACCAAAAAATACAGTATAATTCAGATTTATCTAATATCAACAAAATCTCCAGAAAAAAGATTGGAACTTAGCTAACTAGCCAGTAAAGAGGTTTGAGAAGGAAGATGCAGAAGCAGGAGAAATTTTTTTTTTTCTGGTCATCTCTGCAATTCACCATACCTTACTCTAAAATTTTTACAGATACTTATATTTACATATGCAGGAACTTCACTCAGTGCTGGCTTCTATCAAGGTAGTTGACAATAATGACAATAAGGCAAAGGATATACTTGTAATTTTATAGAAGTGAAGCTCTGTACTGGGGAAGTTAAGGAAATCTAACGGTACAATTGAATGAAACTCGAGAACAGCAACTCTAAATAGATACGAAACATTTCAAAGTACGTCTACAATACTCTAATCAATCATGAGAGAGAGAGAGAGAGAGAGAGAGAGAGAGAGAGAGAGAGAGAGAGAGAGATCAACTACTAGGGCAATGAAATTCAGCAATCAGTAAAATCCTATACATGGTGCAAGTACAAAGGCTTGAGCAACCGAGATCTTCGAGCTAAAAGAAGAAAATCACAACCAACCACTAAAAAAGAAGCTGCATCAAGGATGAAAACAAAAAGCAAGAGAAAAGACCATCCCAACTAACAGACCCCATGGCTGCTAACATAGGAGGATCCTACAACTCTTCAACAGTTCCGCATATGAACTTCAAGTAAAAAATGAACAAAGAAAAATGATAGCAGCCGAGTAACTCTATAAGCTTCAAGTCATAAGTCTCAATATACTCTTTAATCATTCCCAAAACAAGATGTCCAGTACTTAATATAAACAAAAAAACAAATATGTGAGGAACAGGAACTTCTTTTGCCAAAAGATTCAAATGTGACCATCTCAATCAGTAACTGATTTCCACTTAACAAATTCACACAAACATGAAGAAGAGATACCTGAGCTTGGCGAAGGGGCTTCTTTGGCTGAGCCCGTAGTGGCTGAATCCCAGGTATCGAAATTCAATGATGACAAATCTGAGATGGATGGTGATGCTACATCAGGAAAGCTTGAAACAGAGGATCCTTCACCAGTCCGGAGTTGACTAGATTTAAATTCATCTGGATTTTCTACAGCAGAAGCTTGCGTATCAAAGTAGGGTTCGTCCATAACTATCTCAGGCTGTTGGCTCAACATGTTAAGTCGTGTATCACACTGAATCAGCTTTTCAAAATGCTTGTTTAACACACCTGGAGGGCATTGCAGAATATGTTGCCTGTTCAAATCATGTAAAGGCCTTCAATATTGACAGCCATTCAGCTTTTGACAAATATGGTTGCAAATGGAAAAGAAAACTCAACAGAAAATCTTTCCATGCACACGAATATAACAAAAGTCAGCAACAGATAAGTATCCAGTTGTAAGCCTAGTGATAAACATTGTTGTGCACCAAGGGCATATCCATTCAAGAGTATAAGCTTGAAATAGTGGTCTCTTTTCCAGTTTCAGTAAAATCAATCAAGTAAAAAACAATCATCTCCTTTAACTGGTTCAAGTCTTCAATTGTTATGAAAGAACAATTTTACAAACAAAAAGCATAAACTTCGAAAGGTGTAACAATTCAAAAAACTTCATCAAAGAACAGACAAAATGGTGTACAACTGCAATAATTTCCATGGAATTATGCAACGCATCTTATGATCTAAATGCCCTCTGATGCCAACAGAAAAGAAACTAATGAACAATAACAAGACTCCCAATCTTATATATGCTAAGCCAAAGTAGTCACATTAGTCTAACGCAAAAAGCTGTAGACACACAATAGTAAATCAGACACTTGTAGAGGTTTATCTGAACACAAGACTCAATCAGTAATAATGACTATGCATACAGTCATCTCTAAATGGTTATGTCAATTTTTGCTTTAAAAAGATAACCCCAGTACTAAGATGATGTCTAATGATTTACCTATGTATACTAGCCTGTCCATCAGTAAAATCAGATGCTGCCTGCCACAAAGTGTGCTTTCGGGGCTGTGGGTTGGTCTCCCTGAAAAACAGAGGTTGCCGGGCAAGCTGAAACACCATAAATACTGTTAAATAACCTAAAAATAAATGGTAAACTAAGCCAGATGAAATAGAAAGCTTAGATATGGCATCATACTCGAATTAAATCTTACCACTAAAGTCAAAGTGCTAGGCCCATTATCAGGAAAACTTGCTTTAAGAGCCATAATATCAGACCACTGTATCTCTATTTTACTCTTCAACCCAGCTTCAAGAACTTCCCAAACAAGCTTGTGCTTAGCAAAGTAACATTTTGCCACCAAGTCACCTTCATGCCTAGCGACAAACTGCCACCACATAACAGATACAAGGTAAAAATATGGTTCAAACATTTAAGACATGCATTAAAAATATTTTAAAAAAAAAAAAAAAAAAAACCATGATACATACCTCCCAACGTCCAATCCTTATAACAGAAGCAGCGAAATTCGAAGCCTTCATCTTATCAGTTGCAATTGAAGCAGCTGTGTTTTTTGCGTCCTTGTTTGCTGTACTGGTGCTACTGCCAGATTGAGCCACTACAGGAGAAGCATTGTTCTGGGATAGCCTCATTTGAATTAAATCCAGCAAAGACGGACTCTTCCTTAACCGCAAACCCAAAGGGCTAGGTTCATTGAGCGGATTGTACTGCAAAGGTGTAGCAGTAAAATCATTGTTCGCTGTGCTCCACTGTTGCAAAAAACCAAAAAAAAATAATTATATAAAAAATGAATAAAATACCAAAGTTGGCACAGAAGAACTTGAAACAAAAAACAAGTCAAACCCATCAGGCTTCCAACACAACTAGGTAGCTGGCCATAAAATTCTATTAACCTATACTCCAAATTCAAAATCCAAGTTGGTCCCTCAACTCAACTATAAAATTGCCAGATTGGATGCATGCAATCAACTACTCGAGGAAAGTTCCATAATTGCAATGATTGACTTCTGGTATCACTTAAAACTGGGTCCAAACAAGATGGGCATCCTTACGAAAAGCCTTATGAAGACTGACACGTTGTATTAAATTGCATATGACAAAAATTAAACAACAAGCATGTAGATTACCATGTATGCAGAAAACCACAGCCTTGCAAGCGCAGACCAACCAAGAATCTTAATGAAAAGAATCATCCTTTCATGCCTAAAAGATGAACACCAATATCTCTCCTACAATAGTGGAAAATTGCCTTTGGAACCTAGTTTAAGAACACCTCCTCCATTAATACTTTTATGAATCAAATTTATTCAGGTAATTTCAAAATAAGATTGCTCACATTCAATACAAAAAAAAAAAAGTTAATCAAGTCATCCTTAATCCTTGTACACTACTAAATATCCATTTTCCTCAGCTTTACTTTATATGCGGGTTTCACTATTCGGTAGCTGTAACATTTGAACTTACGGCATGTAACAAAGATAAATTTAATAAAAAAGAAAAGTTTACACAAGCCCAATCTATTTGCTTATCCAGCACAAACCACTAGTTCTTTCAGCCTCCCTTCCGATTTTCTAAACTATTCTCTGATAAAATAACAATTCAAATAAAATATAATTCTAAAAAGAAATTGGACCTAAAGCCACCAAAAATATTCTCATTTAATTCAGAATAATTACTTAAAACTTAGAACTAATACTTATGAATTGAAAAAAAAAAAAAAAGAGGAACTACCTGAATGAATGGCGGCGATGATGAGGTAGACGGAGACAACCTAGATCGTTTACTTAGACGTCCGTGACCTTCCTCGGCCTCAACCTCCTCCGCCGCCGCGATCTCCAACTTCACCGACGTATCATTCCCGGCACCAAACGACATCGTTCGTGACCTCATTTTCGACTCAACCATCAAAACAAAGGAAACTAACCAAAAAGAAGAAAAAAAAAATACATTCAAAAGATGAAAAGGGAAATTTATCAGGTACTGAAGAATTCAGGTAAAAAACATAAAGGGATATTGGTTGAATTGGATAAAGGAGAAATCACGATAGTGCCGAAGAAGTTGGAGATTTTAGAACTGAGCTGAAAAGGAAAAGAAAAGTGAAGGATAATTAGGGCATAAACCCTAGAACTTGAAGGGGAAGAAATATTTTTGGAGATTTTTCTTTCCCTTCCTTTCTTTCCTTTCTTTCTTTTCTCTTCCTTTTCCTGTGCTGCTTTTGGATCCTTGGTTTGGGCAGACAATGACAGAAAAAGGAATTTTTTAAATTTTGGTAAAAAGGGTACACGTGCCTTAAATTATTGGATGGGTACTTTTCGAGGTTGTTGACGACCAGATTCGAGTACTCGGGTTTCTGGGTTAGATCCGAATTAATGGTTTACAAATCCGAATTTACGATGTTTTGTAGAAATTGAAAAAGAAAAAAATAGTTGATTATTATTTCGCAAAAATTGAAAATAAAAAATTATTCACAAAATGCTCATGATCAAGAAAATTACTAAAAGTGAAAGTAGTATTTATTGCCAACTCAACCATTCTTTTATCCTTTTTCTTTTGAAATTTCTTGAACTGCATTTTTTTTTTCAATTAAGAGCTGAAATTATAAATAATTTTAACAAAATTCATCTAGATTTTGTATTTATTATTGCTCTATCGAAGGTGTTCACAAATACTGTGAAAACTGATGAGTTGCACTACTATTTCTTGCTATCATTATTACTTGTTCTAATAGTTGAACTGAAACGAAATTGAATAAAAAAAACTCCTTAATATTTGTCAAAATACATTCAATTTAAATTACTAAAAAAATGACTGGAATAAGAGGTTTTAATTTTTTTATCGAGAATCTGCATCCTCATAATGTAAATTTATTAAATTTTCTCAATTTATTTCATATCACTCTTTTTATTCTTGACAAAAACTGAGGTTGCGGTGTAATTAGAATTGTATAATAAAACAAAAAGAATCTCATGATATAAAACAAAAAAAAAAAATTGACTCTTCTGTCGGGTTTGGATTCAGTTCAGGTATTCGGCCCATCTACTAAAATCGGGTCCAACAAAGTTATAGCCGCCTGCCAAACGACAGCGAATATAGCTATTGTAGAAGTGGATAAATTGTGGTCCCAGATTCCTTGCAACAAACAAGGAGGTGATTGGGATTTGGGAGTCGGTGGTGTTTTGCTAAATCCAAATTCCCATATATGCCCAAATTTAAAATAAAAAAAAAAAAAAAGAAAAAAAGAAGGAAGCCGAAAAAAAGAAAATTTAACTCTTTCCCTTGTCGGATGAAGCTGAAAAGGTATAGGATCTCCATGAATGGATATTTCCAAAAATTCTTCACAGATTCGTTGTATTATCCTTTTGGAGTAACCGTTGGGGGATAGCCAAAGAGTGAGAAAATAAATTCTAATTAAATAAGAAGAGCAAAATGAGTCATGGCCTGTACAGGGAACATTTTGTTTGATGTACGTGAGAAGAATTATATGTGTCATGAGCCATCTAGAATATGCTAATGATCTAATCCTATAAATTAATACATGAGATAATCCATCTCAGTTATGACATATACAGAAGACATTAAATTGTTGTACCAAGGGCGAAACATGCAGTCATTAGGGGGATTAATGTTTGCCAATTTAAGTTGGTTGCCTTGTTTGTTTGGATTACCATTTTTCTTTAAAAAAAATTTTACGTAGCTCTTAATTATTTTTTATATTGTATATATCAAATCGTTATAATAGATTTTTTTAGCAAAACTCCAGAAAGCAGCAATCCAAAATTTGAATTAAGTACTATAAAAATTAATATAAAAACTTAATCCAAAAATTTTGAACCCCTAACATTTTTTTCATATATAAATTTAAATTTTCATTTTATAAAGATAAGAAAATAGGCTAAAATTTATCATAAATTGGTAATGCTAAAAAATGTGCAAGTTAACAAACTAAGAAAAAATAAAATAATAAGATAAAACCAACAAATAATAATAATAATAATAATGTTAACATCATGACAAAATGAAAATTTTGAAAAAAAAAAAAAGGTAGGGGAAAAGAAGAGACTTGGGGAGAAGAGAATTTTAAATGGGTTAATTGGGTTTGATGGGTTACCCAATAATACCCATTTATTAAATGGGTATTATTGGGTAACCCATTTATACCCATATACAAAAATTTAAGATACCCATACCCATATATTCATAGGCGGGTATGGGTAAATCTAGTTAAATGGGTTGATTTGCCACCTCTAATCCAAATAGACATCTCTAGGGTTGCAAGTTCAGGAAGTTGGAAATTCTGCTACATCGTCACCAGAGGTTGTTTTTTTTTTTTTTTTTTTTTTGACGTCTTCCTTTCTTGATATTTTCGACCACAAGAATCAAATTAATTGAACTGAACACACCATCCAAACTAGAAGGAAAAACCAATATTGATTTTTTTTTAAAACAATTACCAAGACCTATACTATTTTATCCTAAAAAGAAGGAAGAATCAGCTGGATTGTATAAGAAACTAACACAATTAAAAAAGGTGCACTAACTCACAATTAAATTTTTTTTTTTTAAAACAGCAAGGTGGTAGGGTTGAATTCATGATCTATAGATAAAGGGATTTTAGATCTCTTTTGATATTGAATTCAAATCCTGATTATTCAGTAGTTGAATAAAATCAGGGAAAGTAGCTGCAGTCAACGCAGTAACTAGGAAGGGTAAGTTTAACATCTTAACTCGTAACATAGAGCTTAAAAACTTGATCAAAGAGTTTTTTTTGGGTGCAAAATTCAACTATTTCCCTTGTCGGATGAATCTCAAATATGGTAGGATATTTCCAAAATTTTCTTCACAGGTTCATGTACCATCCTTTTGTGCCCCCGTCTAGTTCTTTACACCATGCTCCAAAACCCACATAAGAAGAATTAAATGAGCTATCATCCTGTTTGCAGAAAACAAACATTATTGTTTGACGTTGCCATCTAGAACAACATCAATGATTCGGTCGTACAACTGATTAGGTAGATCCATCCCTTTGGCTCTAGTATTTGGCAGAATCATTTTGAAATGATGCTCAATGGCTGAATTTAATGACAAGAACATCACAACCATTATTGGTAGAAGATTGGGAAAGCACCTGTGATCTTCTATTGTAGTAATTGTTGAACAAAAATTTCTACCAAGTGCAATGACAGTATGCCGCTTACCTCATTATCTCTGGATCATAAACCTGGTCTCAAAAAGCATCTTCTGGTTTGTTTGGATTGTGTTTTATTTCCCTAATTTTATCTGCTTACATCATCATTACAATTTCCAATACACCTTTTTATCTTCTCAATTATCTTTTTATCTTACACACATCACATCACAAAAAGTGCTACAGTAAAAATATTCCAAATAAAACACAATCCAAACAAACCAGGATCAGGCGTTAGTGTTAAGGACACAGCATAGGCTTCTTGACCTCAAGACTAGAGCTGGCAATTTCGCCCAACACCCAGCAATCCATCCAAACCACCCACTAATTTGAGAGGTTGGGTTGGGTAAGTTGGGTATTGGGTCAATTTTGGGTTGGGTAATAAAAATTCACGTGTATTTTGGACGGTTTGAGTATTTGTGTTGGGCACTCATTACCCAACTTAAGTTAAAAAAACAAATAAATAAATTAAAATCAAGAAATAAGAAAAGACCAGCAACTATGTAATGAAGCCAAATGTTGGATCAAGCAAAACATCCCCTGGCCAAAGTTTTATTCGGCAGACTAGTCCAAGTCTTATCTATAGTTGCATCCTATTCTGTGGCTTGAGCTTTTTTATAATATATGCATATTAGCACAGTAGTATTTGCAAATTGTGAATTGTTGCGAAGTAATAATTGCAGACATCATATCATATCATATTAGAAATTGGATTTTTTTTTTTTTTTTTGTTTACATTCTTTCAGGCATACTGCTTTAATCATCATGGTGACACCCAAATATGCATCCTAGACTATACTGAAGCCAGATCTGACCAGTTAAAAATCCCTGCAAATTGTTGCTGTATTCAATTTGGACCAAAAATTGTTGCTTCGGTCTCATAGTTTGGACCAAAGCTATACCCAATTTGAAAATCCTTGCTTGTATAAAAAATAATGAGTTCATCCAAGTAATAGTGTGTATTTTAGTGTGCTTGTATGTGTAATTTCAAAAGAGCTTAAGAAGAGGATGTGTGTTTGTATTTGTGAGTGTTTTAGTGTATGAAAATATGTCTATTTATGTGAAAATGTGTTTATGCGTGTGAAATTTTTTTTGTATGTAAAAATGTATTTGAGAGAGTCTATGTAACAAAATCTATTAATTAATATATTGAGTCATATTTTGGTCATGGGTTTGAGATAATCCAATATGACCTGACTCAAAATTAACCCAATCTAAAGTTGAACGGATTAGGTATAACTCATTTAAATGAAAAACCCAATACAACCCGTCCAATTGCCAGATATACTCGAGACAGAAAGCAAGCTTTCTAGTGGACAAGAGAAAGTACAGTAACTCCCACCAAAATAAGGACCCGGAAAAAGGAGCTTAATCCTATCTGCAATTATCAGGGCCTTAAGATTTATCAACTCGAAAGGAATGTTAAATCTCTTAATAGGATTGTAAGTGCGATTGTACGAGTTCTCTGCAACAGGATCAGCAGAGTTTTAGCGTTGCTAAAGCAGAAAATAGCATTTAAACAGTTCAACAAAGAAACAGAAAAAAAAAAAAAAAAAAAAAGAAGAAGAAGAAAAAGATCCACTTTGTCTATTCAGCAGCTATTTACCAACGGATTAATACTTCTTGTCAATGTCGTTACCAGGAATGGTAAACTTACCATCACAAGGTGGCTTCTAAATTTTTTTTGTCTTTTTTTAATAAATAAAAAAAAAAAAGAAAAAACTTTGCTAGACGTGAGTTCATGGTGTAAAGTCATTGCAAAAGTAATAGCGAGCAGAAGTTCTTTTATAAGGTAGATGGTTAGACCATAAAATACAAACTAAGATGGAAGGGAAGGGCAAACAATGGATTGCTTACTTCCTCTACGTAGAAAAGACGTGCTTCAGTACAAAAAAAAATAACACAGCATCTGCTGCAGTGCCCATCTGCATCAGCTCTAGTTCGCTTTGCGATTTACTTTCAAATAAGGCAAAGCACCAATTACATTGTTGTAGTCGCTCTGGTCAACTTGCACCTGCATAAAGCATGAAAA